CCAACATGAGTTATAGAAACTAATGGTTAGCAGGTTTCACAGCTCATTTCCATTGAATATTAGTTATTTCTTTTGCCCAAGAGAGAAGAAGAAAAAGGGAGGATAAGGAAATAAAAACTACATGTAGTAGTTAATTTATTTTAAAAGATTGAGCTAATAAGGAGATGGGAGAACTCTGCAGATGACATTGCTTCAGTCAGGAGAGAAAACTCAGTGCTATTCTTGCATATGTTTAAGATTTCTTTGGAACAAAGTAGCATATGCAAATAATGGGACCAATCTGCAAACTCTTATTCAGGTCAGCGGGCTTTGCTCAAGAACTCTCGCTGATTGGGGATACTGGTAACAAACAACGCAGTTTCCCCGGTCTGGGGAGCCTGGCTCTTAGGGCTGCCTCATCTGCTACCCTTGCTTCACTCCCTACTCTCACCCCTGATCTTTTGCAATTCAGTGACAATCAGAGTTAATAAAAGGTGTGTCTGTGATCCTATAAAGCAATTTGCATCATCGCTTTTTGTGATGAAATTTTCACAGGAAAAGGAGCAGCAACATTTTGCCCAGCTTAAAGTTGCCCTGGCACTATACCAAGATGTCTGAAGCCTTTAATTTTCATAAGAGATCTGATTACTGCTGCCCATATTACAGTGTAGAAATATGTCTAGCAGAAAACACACTTCCCATCCTTCTTCCCGCTCTTCCCCCACTTCCAAGGTAAGTCTTGCATTACTGCCATTGTGTCAGAAGCACATGGCCAGACTTGGGCTACCTTGCTGAAGTTATTGTACTACGTCTGCAACAGACTGCATGGCATCTACCTCTGCCCTAACAAAAACATCGTTTTCCTTAACTGGGTTGAAGAAACTGTGTTGCTTTCACTTAACAGAACTGGCCAGACCATGCCAGTTGACATTAACTGTGTTGTATGTTATTTCAATGTGTGTCTATTATAAACAGATGACAATGCAACTTTCATTTTGACTAAAAGACCTGATAATTGACACAGAACTGTTAAAACGTGACAAATAAGTAATGTCTAAGCCAGGTGAATAAAAGAAATGTCAGCAGTGTCTTTCCTCTGCCGTACTCTCTAGTGCAAATACAGCAGCCTTGCTTAATAAACAAGGCCTCATTTAGTTCTAGACTTGTCTCAACATTAGCCTTTTACAAGCACTTGGGACAGGATCATTAAACCTGCACGTATGAGCTGAAGACCTGCCTCAAAATTCTTTCTAATGCCAGGAAAGGTCCTCATGACACTATTATACATTAACTAACAAATAATCATTCTCAGCAGTGGGAACTGAGTTATTCTGCAGCTCTCTGTCAGAGTGTTCAAGTGCCTTGTATGAAATCTAGAGAGATTAAATTCCTTTGCTCTTCTTTATAGTTGGACTGCTTGTAGGGCATGCTGCAACACTGGCATCTAAATATGCTTGGAGAGCAATATGGAAAGATTACAACTGGAATATCTATTATGATAATGTGTGGAAATCTGGCAGCTGTTAACAGAGCAGTGTGGGAAGGACATTACTGGGGCTCATAGGTAAAGCAGAGAGGGAAATTTGGTATCTAATGTCACTAGTATACAAGAGCAGGACAAGCTGGTGTGGTCATTCACTGTCAAGACACAGTGGAGAGGCTGCTAAAGCAGTAAGTTGGTCACTATAAGAAGGGGTGGCACTGGAGCCTGTAGGAAGGGTTGTGCAGGCTGGCTGCCATTGGAGGCCTTCACTAAATGTGTTGTAGGCAACAGGACCACATGATGAACAGATACTACAGCTATCATCTTTGTTTTCCAAAAAAAAGTTAGCTTTCATATCTGGAGTTACTGAACTCAAATGTCTTTTCTTCATTTAATCTTGATGCAAACTCATATGTGTTTCTGACGAGACATCTCAAGTCTTAAGATCCAGTTTGAATCTTTTCTTTCCTTCTGGTCTCCACTTCGTGGAGATTACCTCTGAGTCTGGTGTTCTCTGGATCAGAAATCTAACATTGTTACACTGATCGTGGTTAAGACGTAAAGCCTGATTTCAGTCCTGTGTGGATAGCAGGATTTAATACCTTCAAATGGTGGCAGAAAAAGAACGAGAATAAAAATTCCTTGAATAGTATAAAAGGTGCAATTTGGCACTGCTAAGGAGACAAGTCTTTTCCGTGTGTGACTGTTGCAGTTCCACACAGGCTTTTCACAACAATCATGTACTCCACATCAGGGCCAGGGTGCAGTGATAAGTAAGAGCTCTCACTAGCAGCTCGACAGTTTGCCAGTGCATTCAGCAGCAGTATGCATCTTTCACTCACTGCAGTGAATTATGTTCTCAATTTTACATTGCAAAATGAATAGCAAATAACTTCAGACTGTAACACTGTCCAATCTGTTCCCCCATATGCACTCCTTTCCCAAAGAATACACTGTACCATGCAGTAATGAGGGCGTTCAAATAACAATGGAAAGAATGACTCTGAGATTCTCTTGAACTAACTTCAAAGCTGCATATCCAGTTCTCTGCCTTTTTTGGTCAGTCTCTTCACACCGTTTTTGTCTGGTTTTAAACAGACTGGGTAGGAGAAGAGATTCCAGCACACCTGATCCAGCTTTTAAACTCAGCTCCTCAGAAAAGCAGACATTACACAGCCGTAGGGGGAAAAGTCAGTAGAACTTTCCCTGCTCCCTGCACATTTATATTTCTTAAAAGTATCCAAATGATATGTTGGTAAAGTAGGTAAAAATGAGAGTAGGAGGTTACATGTGAACTGGAAGGCAGAACACTAAAAGTTGTATCTTTCTGTAACAACTGTTATCTCACACATGGGAGGCCACTTCCAGGCAATTTATCAGAACTCACAAATCGTCTTTCAGACACGTGTGGAAAACCACCAAAACCAACACAGGCCACCTGTGATATGCAAAGCCTGCAGCTGAAACAGTCACATTCACAATGCTGAGCTATAAAGTCCTCAGTATTAGAAAGTTCCCCCAAACTAGAAAGATTTATTGCCTTTTTTTTTTTTCTGGTTGGTTGGAGGACACAACAGGCACACACCTTATTCCCATTTTGCTCTGACAGTTTAACATACTCTGTTTCTTCTCACAGTATCTTCTTTATGGCCAGCCCTGCAGCTAGCTCATCTTCTAGCTGGACAATCTGCCTCTGCTGTAATACCAGTGCTTGCTGGACCAACAGGGAAGACAGTGAAATCAGATGCATAGGATAAGAATGGCAATAGCAGTATATGCTTTATTCCTGTATTGACTTTCTCACAGAAGGACTATGCAAAGCACAATACTGAATTTCAGCCCTGTGTGCAGGGTCAGGATACAGCAACCAAGTTCTTCTTAATCCTCAGGTTGGCTGTAAAAAGGAGGTAACTCTTGTGTTACACTTCTGCACATGGGAGAATTTTGATTAAAGAGAACTAAAGATGATTTGAGAGTGGGGATCTTTATATTTTCTTCTCAGCCTGGAAAAGACCACCAAAGTCCTTGTGCCTACTGAACTATGAAGACAGAGAATGAAGGTTGCAACTACTATTGGCAGGGGAAAGCTTCTATATCACCACTCTGTCCTGTTTGAGAGGTCTGCCTCTGTACCTTGATTATGCTTGGACAGTGCAATTTCTATTCAGAAATGTTCCCACTTGAGTGTCTACTACATGGAATGATAGTTAACAGAACATTGTGTCATAGTGTCATATATGGTACCTTGCATAGAGCATTGGTCTGCCTTTCCAGTCTGCTGTTACAGAGCTCTGCTGAGTAGTGACTGTGATGGCATACATGGGTCAAGGCTCCCAAGCACACTTGCCAAAGCAAATAAGTTTCTTCAAAAACAGTTTCTTGGAGTAGGACAAGCAAAACCCAACAATTATCTCACTGAAAAACAAACAGTCCATTAATTCTTTCAAATTTTTCCTCTCCTGTTAGTCCAGACAGGAACCTGTCTTTTCTATCGAAAGAAGTCCTGTTTATGCGGCGGATGGATACAAGCCTTCCATACTTCTAAAATCTTCCAGGTCTTAAAGACAGACAGGTTTTGTTCTAACTGTCATTCCAGATATATTTCTTCCTAAGGAGTCTGGCTCAAAGCGAGTCTGGCTCAACCCTTTGCAGACCTCTGAACTGTCAAAAGTCTGGAAAAGTAAAGCTCCCGGATAGTTGCATTACACGAGAGGGGAGGAGGTTGAAGGGAATCATCACTTGAGAATGCATGCCCACCTCTCAGCTCCTATACATGAGCTGACACTGGGCATGTCATATCATGCATGGAGGAGACGCACAGGGCATGCCACTGCTAGCAGACGTGTGCTGCTTAACAACGTTGCTCGGAATGCCAACCCCTGTGGGGTCTTCTCCACCTGCTCCAGATCCGAGTTTGAGTGCTTCCTCTCTGCAGTTGCAGTGCTGACAACAGCTCTTACCTTGAGAGTTGCTATGAGGAGGGATGGGTGCAGCAGAAGAGCAGCAACAGAGTGAATCTCACTCAAAATGCTTCAGGCTCAGCAGGGCATCTTTTGGCATTTACCAAAGGATCATGTCACTGCCTTCACAGCCACAGAAATAATGACCAGCATTGACTTTTCCTTTTAAAAATGGAGAAATTTCATATATTTCTTAGATGTTATTTGGCTTGCCAAATGCTGTAACCTTTCAGCCATCAGTTTCTTTTTACCAGATCAGCCCAAGGACATCTCTAATCTCCTAAAAATGCCGTGTCTGGTATCTTATTGCTGAAAGATTAGTTTGTTCATGCTCTTTTCATGAGAATCTGTTACCATACATGTTACTAAGCTCCTTGTAGCTTCCTCACAAAGCAAATGTTGTTCCCTTTTCCCTAGAAAAACATTGAAATTGTCGGGGGATTAGCATACATTAAAGCATTAAAAAAAAAAAAAAAAAAAAGACAATACATAGCAAGGAGGTCAAAGAATACACAAGTTCTTTGGGTTCCTGTATTTTAGAGCCAACGTGCTTAAAAGCATTTCTATTCCAACACAAGAAACTGTGGCTCCCTGTGCTCTCAGAAGGGTGTAAGCAAATGCAGAAGTGCAGAAGAGGAGAGGAAATCTCATGGTGCCACCTGAAGGAAGAAGAGGCAGTGAGATTAACAGTGCCCCTTCAACCAGCAAGAAAAAGAGGAACCATGAACCCTGAAAATGCCCCAGGTGAGGAGTAACTTGTATCACAGAAAATTAAAGGAACCCATGAAGTCAGGAAAAAAAGGACTTGAGAAAGGGATGAGTTTCTTTGCTCTGCGCTTCACTTTGAACTTGCTGAAGTTCAGATTCATTCAGAACTGAAGTTTTGGAGTAGACCCATTGCTGTTGCCAACTCATTTAATCTCTGCTGTCATGGACTATTTATTATAGAATAGTGTGCGTAAGATATCACTCAAGGTAAAAATGTAGAAAAATAAGTTGTGAGTGCAGTGGCTGTAATAATTTCCTTGTTTAAAATGCTTTAAATAATATTCTTAAAAAAGCTGGGGACAAGTACATGTGAAAATATACTGTTTAAAACAGTGAACTTTAGCCATGTAGGTCTGCACATTTGTACAGATAACCACATCATAAACTCAAGCGCGCTTAGTTCAAAACAGGCTGGATTCATTAGGAAGTCTTTATCTGTGGAGAGAATATATTTCATCAAGTTGGAAGTAGTACAAAATGATTGTGGGCTGAAAAGGCTTTTACTCTCTCTGAGTTGCAAACAGAGCAGGATTTGTCAAAAAAATAAACCAAAAATAACCTCTTTGAATTAATGTAATGATAGAAATGCAGTGGTTTTATACCTTTTATCTAATGGCCCCAAATTAACTCATACGCATTATTTAGTACTGACTACAGCTTTGAGCTGTGTGAACCTGTTTTCACAGGCAGCTCTGATACAGTTGTGTGAATTACCCTAGGTCATAAAACTAAAGAAAAAAAAAAACACTAAGAAAAAGCAGGCAGGAAAAGGGAAGCAAGAAAAGGACTACAAGAAAAGGACCAGGGGATCAATCAGGACTGGAACATGATGAGAGTTTCACTTCCTATTCCTGCTGGATAATAAATATTCTCTATCACCTTCCTTCTCATTGGTTTACCTGACCAACATGATGTCAGGTTACGCATTGTCATGGCTGTATATAATATTATTTTTGAGATCTTTTATTTACCATCTTTCTGAACACTTACCAGTTTCACTTGGAGAAGCATACTAATGTTTCCCCTCAGAGAAGCCCAGATTGTCTTATGCTCTAGGAATAGTTTCCGAACTCAGTTACTCCTTAGATATTAGAACAGGCTGTATCTGTCAGTCCATCCATATAACTGTTCCAAGCACTGGATGTTTTGCAATGCTTTGCATTCGTATAATTAAAATGACACAATTGAAATATGCTTTAAAAGGTAGTTTGTAAGCCTCTGGGTTGTTACTCAAGAGAGGTTACTTCAATTTCTGGCTTGTCACAAGAACCAGCTGTATAAAAAATGTATGTGTCTTTTCATAGAATCATAGAATCATATGAGAGAAAAATTAGCATCAGGAACTTTAAGTAACTAAGAAGATGTTGGGAAATGTGCACCCATTAAAGGCTCTGACTAGCAAATCAGGGAAAGTATAGCAGCCCACTGGTTACTGTGAGAAAGATGCTCTTAAGAGTTTCCTCACCCAGAAAAGGCTGGGTCCAAATGTTTGTTGTCAGTTGCTAGAGAGCCTGTAACTTGACATAACCCCTGATGTCAGGGCTAATACTGAGCTAAGATCTTGCCAGCATTTATAGTTAACCTGTTTGTACTACAGATTGACAGCATGAAGCAAACTTAACTCAATGTTTACCTCTACTGTTAAAAGCAAGGGGAAGGGGAGAGGAAAGTTGGTGGCCCCAAGAGGGCTTCATAGCCAAAGACCGGTGTCCTTGTAAATCTGATAAATAACAGGCAGTCCAAATTTTTGTAAGAGCTCCAAGGTTTCCTTTGGGATTTCTTTAGATAAGAATTTGAAGGATGCTGGTCACTTCCGAAGGTACATTCCCCTCTCAAGGTCCAGCATATGAGGAGAAACCACACTTTAAAGAAACAACAAAACAAAACACTATTTGTCCCTTCTTTGCGTAGAGATGGATGTTCTACACTCTTTTAGAAGAAGCATGCAGTCAGCGGATGTGTAAAGCAAGAGGAACAACTAGACATGATAGTGGGAAACAAAAAGCAATGGAATTGAAAAACAAATAAACCCTGCCGTATGTAGCCTCTTGAGTCAGGGTCATGCCCTAAATACACAATACTGTCTGAAAGTAGTGCATATAGTACTTAAGCATCTAAACACACTTACTACATACTTGTAAAATTTTTTCCAGACCCAGCAAAATATCCTTTTACTTGTACAATATGTTCCTTTAATAAGGAAGAGATGCCAGTCCAGAACCTGCAGTCAGAGGTGCTTGTCTTAGAGAAGGCTCCTGGAACCATCTCAGCTTAGGTTCAAAGGCTGCTTGAATGTTTAGGCTCAGACTAATCAGGTTAAGTATGTTCTTGACAGATAATTTTTTCCTTCATAGGTCTCCCCTGAGGGATATTAGTCATAAACTCAGCAGAATGCCTACATTAGATCCACACAATTTGAGGTAGATAGATTAAAATAATCCACCACCTGAGCACACAAGTTTGGTAACTGTTCAATCGGTTATGCAATTTGCATGTGTAAATGAATTTTGCATTCACAGATGAATTCACATATGTATTATGGATAGGTAAGAGGGGAATCTGAAAACCATTCTGTATCATTCATTTTCCGCAATGGTATTTCATCCCATCAAATTATATCTCTGTATGGTTTCATATCAATATATATGAAAAGATGCGCAGAGCATATCTGGCTGTGTTCACTATACTTCTGGAGCTGTAACAATGCCTAGGCAATTAGGAATGGGTTGTTGGAGCTCTGCAGCAGATAGTCCTTGCTTGTTGCAAAGTGGGTGGAACAGCAAGACTAGCAATTTTTTCAAACTGTAGTAGCCTATGAGAATAGCTGATTTAATCCTCTGGGTGTTTGGATTTCAGTCTGCACATCATTGCAACTCTTACTCTTATTTTTTTGGAATGCAAATCTTCAGGTTATGCAATGCACTATTCAAATTCTGTATTGTTGGTGCTCAGAAAGGAAGTGTGTTACCAGTCTCACTGGCCACTTATTTAACAAGTTGTTAGCAAAGGGTTGCGAGAGTGCTGGGTTTCTGGCACTGATCTTATTTAATAGTGTTTTTTTTTTCTTTAGAAAACAGACAAACACACAGTTCTGAGCTTCGCAGATGAAAGGAAAATAAGATAGCTTAAGGTTTGAGTCTGTCAATTCTCTGTCAGTATTACCAGTTTCTGTAGTATAATAAAAAAGGAAAACATTTTTGCATGATCAATCCACGATAAAATTGGGTGGTTATGATGACCGATACTTCACCTAACTGTAGAGAATTCAACTCTCATCTATTTCTTATGGAAACAGAAATATCTTTCAGATATTCATATGTTTAAAATATAACACCTCCCACTTGCCAGTTAACAAAACAGTTTCCCAATATGATTTTCAGTTTCTATATGGCTGAGAATTCCAAGAAAAGTAATTTTGGAAGTCAGCCTACATTTCATGTTTAGTGATCAGATTAAAGTTTGGATAGTGGTAATGGCACATTGAGACTTTTCAAATTCCTCTTTGGAACCACAGAGTCATGAGTATGGCTTTGCCTGTGTGCCTATAGGCATAGGTTTATATTATTATAGGCTTACAGGTTTATATATCTGAATATTGCCTGTCAGATAAAAGAACATTAATCAGTGTAAAATGTTAGGAATTGATCAGACTACTTACCTAATTCTGCAGGGGCATCTCCCTCAGATTGCTGTGTTTTTTATTAAATGAAATATATTTACCTCAAATTATATTACTATATATTATGGCCTTTAAAATCTTAGCCTCAAAGATTCCCAACAAATTTTGGGAAACCAAAAAAGTAAAAACCTGCAATACTCTTCTTTGGTCATAACATAAAAAAGATTTCAGTGCTTTTTCCTTTTAGAATAAAGGAGCAAAAGGATACCTCTGAATCCATGGGGTCTCTATTTTGTTGTTTTATTTTTTAGGAACAAAAATATTAGTAGACATTTAATAATTACAAAATTTTAGAGAAAGTATTATACCAGTGAGCGGACACTGATATAGGACACTGGCCAACTAGAAAAATGAACATTGATTAACTGAGGTGATGGGGACTCTTTTCTGCCATTTAAAACTCAGTTTCTAGTTTGCAAATTCTAATGCCCTACAAAGAGTTAGGAGGCAAAAAAGTCTTTGCTGGAGACTTTAAATTTTCTTCCTATTCTCTTACATTTTTTAATCAGAGACTGATTCCAGTAACTCAAATAAATAAAAATAAAAAGTACACTATAAAATATCCAAGATCCCCAGAGTTCTGTAGGTAAATCAGTCTTAAAAAAATAGCATTGACTATACCTCTCAGTTCCAAAACCTCATAAGAACTAGAAAAACTGTTATTTTACCTTTGTAAATCACTTTAAGGTCAGTGTATGTTATTTTACTTGAAAATTTTGATCCTAAAAAAAAAAAGTCAAAAAGAATGTTAATCCTGTCGACTGATGATTGCAGAAGACGTGCCTTTATGGGTACTCTCTGTCCTTTGCTGGTGTTTGCCTGCTGCTAGCTGCCCTTGTTTTTACCTACTGCTGGCATATAGCTTTATCATATGAGGTTGCTGTGTTATAGTGCTGCTTCCTACTGGTGTGCTCCTGCTTCATTTCTTCATTTACGGTCTAACGTTTATGTCATTTACAATATGTGAATGGAAACAGAAACAAAGGCATGAAAGACATTGACAATATAGATAAAGCTATAAATCTCTATTTTCTTTTAGTCACCTACTTTGGTCTTTACTATCCTCATATTTATTGTATTTTGTTACAGTGATATATTGTATTTGTGTTTACAAAAAAAAAAAAGACTAATCATTTGGGAACACTTTGGTGTAGGAACATTTTTTCAGGCACAGCAAGTAGTTTTCTATCCACCTCTATTTTCACAAACTCATGTCTTTGACAGATGAGGTTATTCTTTTGTCTGTCATTTCCAGTGTGGACTATTCAGTATTAGTATAACATTTTGGCCCGAGGCA